GTGTTTTGGATCTTATTCAGGTTTGGTCAAATTATAGAATCCATGAACATTAAAATGAGCAAAACTAAGGCTTTGTGTGTGAATAAGAATTTTAGCGTTGTATTTCACTTAAATTTAAAAATTTATGATATTTCTGCACTTAAAACTAAACTATTTTGTATCAATATTGTAAATTAATGAGAACCTCATTTTACCATATGCTACAAGAAGCCAGTTTACTACCACATTGATTCGCTGCCAAGTGCAATAAATTGGCTTTTATATAAATTTTCGTAAAATTGAGAATATGTGTATATTTTTTCATGATGAATGTTTCATAATGAAATATTCTATGCGACGAGCTCTCTCGGTCTCGGTGAAGAATGCGCAAGGCGATAACAAGCTCAAATCGCGCATATTTGTGGTTGTTTGCTGGGGTGGGGGAATGATTAGGTAGTGTCGGTGTTTGTGGAGGTACTTGCAGTGTAATCCGTTTGTTCAGTTTGTCAGTGAAGGTACTAGGCGTTTTTTTGCTTCAAGGACGTATCGGGGTAGCCTGTTCCAGTCACTTATGGTACGTGGGAAGGAGTGCTTGTAAGAGTCGGTGTTGATGTAGTATGTGACGAATTTACAACTATGTGAGTTCCTTGTGTTGCGTGTATGTGCTGCTTGTAAGTATTCGTGCTTGTTGATGTCTATAAGGTTGTTTGTGATGCTGTACATGATTGTAAGTCTGTGTGTTTGTCTTCGGGTCTCGAGCAGGTCCATATTAATGTTTTTTTTATGAGATGTAAAACCAGGTATACGTGTGTAATTGGGTGTAATAAACCTGACAGCCCTAATATTGACACACGCGCGCGCACACATACACACACACATACACACAAACAAACACACACACACATACACATATATATATATATATATATATATATATATATATATATATATATATATATATATATATATATATATATATATATATATATATATATATATATATATATATACAGTACAAGCAAGTTCGGTTCAAAGGCAGCTGGCCTGAAGGCGAAACCAGAAAAATTCTTGAAAGATATTAGGAAGGACCCAGACAACATTGATGTTTAATTGGTAGAGGAGTATCTAGTTCAGGTGCACAAATCAGGCACGTCACTGAAGACATGGGATGATCAGAGGTACCTCATTCCGTCACAGCAAGAAGACTGCAAGTCGCGCACTTGAAGGCCACATTCAAAGGCTGTTTATGGCACACATCTTCAGTTGCATTGCCTAGACGTTCCAAAGCTTAATGCCAGGTGTTTTGGATATTATATTGAAGATGACCTTATGAAACCACGCCAAAACCAGAAATTGCTTCCTGGTGATTTCCCTATACCAGGCAAATGTACTAATTGTGCAACAGTAAATATCTATGTTGTCTATACTGTGGCTGTCAGGCTTCATGAAAAGCTTGCAGAAACCAGTAATTTGAGATGTGAAAGTATCAAAAGGTTCCTTTCACCCTAAAACACTCAAAGTATCAAAATAAAGTTCAAATTTGTGAGTTTTACTTTTGATTGACCAAAAGAGACCATTAGTGAACCTAAATGACCTATTGACCTTCCAAGTTCAGGTTGAAAAGACAAGTAATCACCATACAGTGAGGTCTATTAGTACCTACAATTCCTTTTCAATACTTTTTAACAATTGTCTAACATTCAAACAGCTTTCATGGAGAATTTGTAGGCTTGCAGTTTGATTCAAGGATTTTTTGTCATTTTCAGGATATTGACCAAAATTCAAAACAATTTGAGAGATAATTCAGAGATGATTGTTTCAAAAACTTACCCACTTTGCATTTTCTTAGAAACTGAATGAAACAAATATATCTTTATTTCATCAGTTTGAAATTCAGTTTGAAATTTCATATTTAGTCTCCAGTCCGATATTTTGGACAATCCCCTTATGACGTCATAGTTTGACCTCTGGTGACTTTGACATCTAACCAATCAGATATTAAATGATTTAATCATATAGCTGCACTTAATAGCTTCATTTTAATTGTTGTTAGGTTAGAAAATATGCTCAACTTGGAGAGCTAGCTCCAATTTAGTTTCCCCTATCCCCAAATTTATCGGTCTTTTTTAAATTGATTACATACATCATGGCGATTTCCTCACTAAGTACCACGCTTCATAACTTCGGGGCCTTTCTTTTGCACACAGAAACCTTTCAGCTCCTGTAGTATTATGCGTGAGAGGTGTTTCAAGGTTTTGTAGGTATTCTGTGTTAGTAGAAGGTTGTCTGTAGAAAGCAGCGAGATGGAGTGACTTACAGACAGAATGTTGGAGTTGGATCCAGGTGATTTCATAGTCTGTGTCAAGGTCCGGTTTGGTCTGGTAATGAGTTCTGGCTCGGTGGCGAGGAGGACACCGCCACCTCTGCCAGCGTCAACAGAGCGGTCTTTGCGTATGACAGTCATGTTATAGGGAGGGAGTTAATGTCGGGAGTCAACCATGTCTCGGCGCCTATTATGATGTCTGGTTGGTATGAGTGGATGATCTGGTGAAACTGAGCTACTTTTTGAAGTTAGTGTTTAGCAGACGGAGGATAATTTGGTTCTTGTGAGGCGGTGGTCTAAGGGAGAGGGGAGAGGTGGACGGGGAACAGGGACGGAGGAGTTAAGAGGGGAAAAGGGCGAAGAGAGGAGAGGAAAGGAGAGCAGGAGGAGGAGGGGGAAGGAGAGGATGAGGAGGGGAAGGAGAGAGACTTAGCTTAGCGGCGGAGGGTGGGGGGGGGGGCTGAAAACATCTGTCCGCCACAGCGTCCAGCAACATCCCACAAATTTATAAGCATGTGCAATATTGATTTACTCGACTTTCTTTGATACTTTATGAGCCCGCATTGTTAAGAGTTACACTGCTCGAAAATTAATAGAATGCATTATGCAGCTGTATGAAAGTGATGATAACTGAGTTAGAGTAATCTTACTGATATGACTGGAATATCATTATGAAGTATGATATAAAAATAAGACATTCTACAAATGTGTGAGCACTGAATAAATATGGGTTTTGTTGAAGATAACAATGCTAGTAAATATACCACGTTGAAAGCACCACTTCTCGTCCGATCAGCGAAGTTAAGCAACGTTGGGTCTGGTCAGTACCTGGATGGGTGACCGCCTGGGAACACCAGATGCCGTTAGTATAATTATATTTTCTTTACGTTTTTAAGCCGTTTATTTTTTTCAGTCATTCCAATGGATACGGTAATTTAGGAATGGATAATAGACTGAAAACGATCCAAATTGTTACTAAATTTAAGACGAGAAACACGATTTGAATTCCAAATCCTTGTATTTATGTTGATCCTCGTCCATATGCACCTAATGGATTTCCTTTTCTTCCTACTTTGTATAACTTTGGTTTCTCGCGTGCTGCAGATAGCATGCCTGGGATTTCTGTACGTAAGAATAAATCAGCAAGAGGAATGAACGCATATTCTTGTTTGTGAAAATGAACAGTGACCCTAAATTAGATTTCCTTCCTTTGATGATCATTTGTTACTGCATGCCAAGTAAACAGATCTGTATTTATATAGACCTTGTGTGTGTGTGTGTATGATGTGTATGTGTGTGTGTGTGTGTGTGTGTGTGTGTATGTTTTTGTCTGTGTGTTTGTGTGTGTGTGTGTGTGTGTGTGAGTGTGTGTGTGTGTGTGTGTGTGTATAATGTGTAAATATGTGTGCATGCATGTGTATGATGTGTGTGCTTGCGTGCGTGTGTGTATTGGCAATGGCAATAAGATAGCCAACACTTGCCATCTTATGCCATTGCCCAAGGTTCTCCCCCCCCCCATGTTGTTGCACAAAAATAAGGATGTTTAGCATTAAATACCTCAAGGCCAATGCCTGTGCACTCTTAACGCTTTCATTTTATATTTTCCTTTGAGTATTTTTGTTAATTAGAAGCAAAAATGATGTTGTTACTGTTTAGACTATTTTTATTGCCATTAGTGTTATTCTTTTCTATTTGTCATTATTTTATCATTATCATCCTCATTACCATAACCATCACCATCACTATTGCTATTATTATCACCATCATTATTATCATTATCATTGTCATCATTATCATGATCTTTATCAGCATCATCATTATCAATACCGTCACCATTACTATCAACATAATCATTACCATCATCATTATCGTCAGTCATTATCATTATCGTATCATATCATCATCGTCATCATCATCACTCATCGTCGTATCATCATCCTAATCATCATCATCATCATCAATCATCATCGTCATCATCGTCGTCGTCACTCATCATCCTAATCATCAATCATCATCGTCGTCGTTATCACTCATCATCCTAATCATCAATCATCATCGTCGTCGTCATCACTCATCATCCTAATCATCATCATCATCATCATCGTCATCGTCGTCATCACTCATCATCCTAATCATCATCATCAATCATCATCGTCATCGTCGTCGTCATCACTCATCATCAATCATCATCCTAATCATCATCATCGTCATCGTCGTCGTCATCACTCATCATCCTAATCATCATCATCATCATCATCATCGTCATCGTCGTCATCACTCATCATCCTAATCATCATCATCAATCATCGTCATCGTCGTCGTCATCACTCATCATCCTAATCATCATCATCAATCATCATCGTCATCATCATCATTGGTATCGTCGTCTTCATCACTCATCATCCTAATCATCATCAATCATCATCGTCATCGTCACTCATCATCCTATCATCATCACTCATCATCACCATACGCATCGTTTCCTTGGAATGGCCGTATCACCATATCATCACCGTTATTTTCCAGCGTATTATCTTCACCATCCTTGCAACTACCTCTTGATTTCCAAAAGGCATCGACAGAAAAAAAAATCTCCGAAATCAACCAAATGTGACGTAGTGATGAGTAAAGAAATAGTAATTCATCATGACAAAGAACGTGGAGAACCGGCACCGTCGCATCGCTCTCCGGGAGATGTGGCAGCGTGGCATTGTTTACCTCGGATTTGAATGAAGGAGAAACGCGATTTTCGTGAGATTTTGGATTTTTTTCTCATTTAGTCGTTTTTTTAGAGAAGATTGTGGCGTGAATGTTGTATTTTTGGGTTGGCGAAGAATTAGGGGGTTGAAGTAAGGCGGTTGTATTGGTTATTTGTCGTGAATGAAAGCGTAAAAGGAGGATTTCTTTGGTGGTGAGTTCTGTGGTGATTTATAGGCAGAATATTAGCTTTGTTTTATCTCGCTTTACCTCTTTTTTTAAGTTTCTATAGTAGATTTGGATAGAATTTGTTGTTTGTTGCTTTTTCTTGACAATGATTATATAAAAGCATAAAGACTACGTTTAGTCTGTAACTACATTATCTTAAATTTAGATATATTCAAGTCTTTGTTTTTTAATAATTTGTCTGAAAATTGCACACTCAGTAGAAAAGCAGCATGTCAGCAAGTGAAAAAGTGCCACATTTGAAGTGTATTCATGAATGAGGAGGTGTAGTTCTCGGTGACACTGTTGACTCTCATGAAACTTGGATGTAACGCCTCTGTAATGAGGATACAGGGAATAGGGTTATCATAGAAATGGCTTTTTTAGTTTCACTCAGCCATCCAAGCTAGCATTTACTATTCCTTGTTTCAATTATCAACATCGTTATAAGCGTGAATCTCTTGTTATTTTCCATTGCAAATGATATAAATGAAAGTATTGGTAATTGTCTATCAGGTGACTTCGCCCTTCTGAGACTAATGGAGTCTTCTGTGTGCGGCAATAAAGTTGATTTAAAGTTTGATGCTAATCCACAGACCTTGCACTGAAGATACAAGACACACCTGCTAGACATACGACCCATTGTAATTATCAGTAAATTTGTTGTTTTTAACACAGTAATGTTGATAGTGAGATTTGCTACAGAATAAAAGAAAAAAAATATACACATAGTACAATTATATCATAAAAATATATCTGTGTCAGTGCAAATACGTTATATAAATGGCTTCAAATAGCCTTTGAATTTTATAGTTTTTTTCTGAGAGCTCTTCCTCCTGTGTGAGTGAGAGGCATGGGCAGGGTAGCTTTTTCAGGATATTGCCAGCAAGGATCACAGTAATAAATTTCCTCATGGTTTTTGCAGTTCACTATAGTTTCAAGAATCAGAAAGTTTGTACTTTGGATTTGATACCTAATAGTGGAATTACTAAAAAAAAAAATTTTTTCTTCTTTTTATTCCATTAATATTTTGCATAAGATAGGAATGTTTTCCCATTCTGGAATTAACATTGCCTATTCTGTGTCTGTAAATTGTGGGATTCTGTCAGGGATTTTCTTTTAGTTTTACCTTTCACTGTTGAGGGTTGTATATGCAGTCTGAATATCTCACAACTTAGAATACATATTGATGAATTCTCACAAACATCTTTGGCATGAAAATGTCAGAACTTCTTTCGTTTTGCTAAGAATTAAAGTTAATGGCAATTCCATTCCATGTTTTCTATGGAGTTGATGGCATTGTTATGTATCAATACATGATTGATGGGATTAACTAGCTCATTCTGCACATGTGCTGGAATAAGATTTGAGTTTGGAAAGTTAATGCTGGTCCAGAAGTATACAAAAAGTTGATCCTGGATGCTGGTATAATGATAATGATGATGATTGTGACACTACATGTTTTTTGTTTTGTTATCCCCACAGAACATGGCTGAAAGTGAGACTCGCCCCTTTTTCTTGAGGCTGGGTACCCTCTGCCGTTATGTGGACTCACAAGTGATGGACCTGAAGGAGGAACTTGTCACACATGAGTGAGTAAGGTTTAGAGTAAAGGAGTGATTTAGTGTGGACAGGGAAGGGGAATGAATGAATGTGTGTGAATATTGAGGACAGTGAGGGTATGTGAATGTGTAGGTGAGAACAGGGAGTGAATGAGTTGATGGAGTTATGAGTGAGTTGGTGAGCATAGGGAAGGGGTGTGGGTGAATAAATTATTTGATACAAGAAAGATAAGTTAATGAATAAGTGAGTGGAATAAGCTAATGAGAAAGTGCCAAATTAGTGGATGAGTTAGCAATTAAGTCATAAGTAAGTTGATAAGGATGGGGAAGATGGGGATGAGCTGGTAGTTAAATCATTTTGGAATTTGGAATTTTTTGTATTCTGTAATTGGTTCCTGACGTATATTATGATTGAGACCAAATTGCTTATGTACATATGTTGATAAGGTTATCTAAAAAAGATGTGTAGAAATATGTGTAATAAACAGGGGATCTATCATTTTTAAGTACATTAGTTGATCCAGATAATTCAGCAACTAGAAAAGGACATTTCTGATGATGTGCAAAGGCTTATACCATATTGTAATGCTTTGATTTGTCTATTTTTACGCAAGTGATTTAGTGATGATAATTGATATCTAGAGTATAGGAATTTGTGTCAGATATTTTTTTATTATTTCAATACTCTAAAATTCACACCACAATCAATATTTATGTAACCTCAAGAGGCAGATAGATATGTAAAAGTATGTGCAATAAACAATGTATATGGTAAATCATTTTGTCTGAAAATATTACTGGTTATATAGGAAAAAATATAGAGCTAGTTAATGCACAGTAAAGTAAATATTTTTTTCTATCACATTTTCCTTTAAGCAGAGTGATGTAGAATTGACTTTACTTATATGCTCACTATGATGTCTGATCCTCTTTTTAGTAATTTTCCCAATATCAAGAATTAAACTTATAGTATTCTTTTATTCTTAACCTTTACAAACTTTATCTTTGTTACTATCATCCTTTTCTCTGTTCATTTCTCTTCATACCATCCATTTTTCTACTTTTTTATGAATCAATTTATTTTTTCCCCCCCAGCCTAAAGCCCCACAATTACGACAGAGGACTTAAGTGCCTGAAGAATGATGTTAAAGATCTCAAGGTGAGTGCTCGTTGTTCTTCCTTTGGGTATTAGGAGCAAGAGCAAGGTAATTGGAAATACGTCTCTATTTTTAATATCAGTGACTTTTTTTTTTTTTTTTTTTTTTTTTTTCCCCTTTCTTTCTTTCTTTCTTTTTATTTAATTTCCTTTTTAAGATTTTCAGGAATATGCCAAAATTTTCTGAATCAAGTATATATAAACCTTATTAAGCCTTTTTAGGATATCTGATAGTCTTTTCTCTAAAACAGAAATTGACGAAAGATCTCCAACCTAAGCTGGCTTCTATTGAGAACTTTTCCAGCTACCTTCAGTCCATGCAAGAACTTGTCACTCAGCAAGCTACTGACATCGAGAAGATTGAGAAATATCTCTTGACGTAAGTTTTTTTCTTTTTCTTTCTTTTTCTTTTCTTTTTTTTTCTTTTTCTTTTCTTTTTTTCTTTTTCTTTTCTTTTCTTTTTTTCTTTTTTCTTTTCTTTTCTTTTTTTCTTTTCTTTCTTTCTTTCTTTTCTTCTTTTCTTTTCTTTTTTCTTTTTTCTTTTCTTTTCTTTTCTTTTCTTTTTTCTTTTTTTTTCTTTTCTTTTCTCTTTCTTTCTTTCTTTTTTTCTTTTTTTTTTCTTTTCTTTTTCTTTTTCTTTTTCTTTTCTTTCCTTTTTCTTTTTTTTCTTTTCTTTTTTCTTTTCTTTTCTTTTCTTTTTCTGTTTCTTCTTTTTCTTCTTTCTTTCTTTTCTTTTTCTTTTTCTCCTTTCTCTTCTTATTCTATTCTTCTGTTTCTCTTCTTTCTTTCCTTCTCATTTCTTCATCTTCTCTTTCTTCTCTTTCTCCTCTCTTCTCGTGGTTTCTCCTTCTGTTCTCTTCTCTTCTCTTCTTTTCTCTTCTCTTCTCTTTATTTCTCTTTCTCTTCTCTTCTCTTTATCTCTTCTCTTTCTCTTCTCTTCTCTTTCTTTTGACTCCTTCTCTTCTTTCTTTGCTTGCTCGTTCTTCTTACTTCTTCTCTTCTCTTCTCTTCTACTTCTCTTCTTCCTTCTCTTCTCTTCTTTCTCTCTTCTTCGCTCTCTTCTTTCTTATACATCACTTCTCTCTCTTTCTCTTTCTCTCTTGCTCTTCTCTTCTCTTCTCGCTGCGCTCTTCTCTCTTCCTCTCTACTACTTACTCTTTCTGTTCTTCTTGCTTGCTTCTCTTTCTTCTTCATCTTCAGTCTGCTCTTCTGCTTACTCTCTCTTCTTCTCTTCTCTTCTCTTCTTCTCTTCTCTTCTCTTCTCTTCTTCTTCTTTTCTCTTCTCTTTTCTTTCTCTCTCTTCATCTTCTTTTCTTTCTCTCGCTTCTCTCTCTGTCTCCTCTCTTCTCCTTCTCTTCTCTTCTCTTCTCTTCTACTCCTACTACCTTCTCTTCTCTTTCTCTCTACCTTCTCTTCTCTTCTTTCTCTTTTTTCTACTGCCTCGTCTCTTCTCTTCTCTTCTCTTCTCTTCTCTTCTCTTCTCTCTCTGCTTCTTCTCTCTCTTCTCTTCTCTTCTGCCTTTCCTCATCTTTTCATTTCATTTCATATCATCTTCCGTAGATTATTATTTTTCTGCACAGTGACTGGTCAAACTTTCATTTAACACTTCTGAAATCAGATGGTCTCCCCCAATCCAACAAATCAAAGCTTCTTTAATTTAACTGAAAGTTTTTCTGCAATAAGTGAAATCGTACGTTCGGAAGTTGGAAGTATCATGCCTAGCTGGATGCCAACCTATAGCACCTGTTACCAGTTGTTTGAATTCCAGCATACACACGAACCACTGTTTTCATTCTTCAGATATGAAAGAATAATGAAATTATGTTGCTTTCTGTCAACAACTGCTCTATTCTCTCTTACCTTTCTTATTTTCCCTCTTTTCATTCAATTTCTACCAGTATACCATTTTGTTGTAATAAGATTAATTCTTTTATATTTATGGCCCAAATGCCTTATTTACTAATCAAAACACCTAAAACATGTCACACGCCCCAAGATTCATTCTGCACATTATCACCGCTTATCGTGTGTCTGTTGTCAGTTTTTGTCTGGCGTTTTGAGCAGCTCATATCTCTCGTTAACTTTGTCATTAATGTAATTGATTATCACTTAATTAGAGTCATTGCTTTTATAATAAAAGAGCATCATGATTATAGGCCACGTTATCATTGTTGCAGAAAGATGAGAAGAATCCAAGAGACATAGCAGATAGAGAAATAGTATTCAAATAAATTTTAGGGGTATAACTAGTGACTTCTTTCAGTTCCCGCACTCACAGATACATGGCCGTGATCACTCTCATTCTCTCTCTCTCTGCATTCTTACTCTCTCCCTCTCTTCTTCTCTCTCTCTCTTCCTCTCTTCTATCTCTCTCAATTCTCATCTCTTCATTCTCTCTGCCTCCTTCTCTCGTCTTGCTTCCTGCTCTTCTCTCTCTCTCTCTCTCTCTCTTTCTCTCTTATCTGTCTTCTCTCTCCTGCTTCTCTGCGCCTTTAGCCTCTCTTCTGTTGCCTCTTCATTTCAATGCCTCGTCTCCTCTGTTCTTTATCTTTCTTCTGTTGAATCTACCTTACTATCTGTGTACTGCGTCTGCTCTGTCGTCTCTGTTGTTTTCTTCTACTCTATTCTCTCTCTGATGTTATGAGGCTTATATGTCTTGTCTCTGTGGTCTCTGTGTGTTCTCGTGTACCTGTTCTGTCTTCTGTTACTTCCGTCTTCGTGATTATCTGTGTCTCTCGTGTCAAACTGGTCTCTATCCTGGATGTGGGTGTCTCTCTCTCTGGTCCGTCCTCTCTCTTGGTTAGCGACTCTTTTAGTTGGGTCTCTGCTCATGTCTCTCTCTCTCTGTATTTCGGTCTCCTTGTCACTCGTGCCGTCATCTCTTACTTCTCTATAATGTCTCTGTCTGTCCGCTCTCGTTCTCTTTCTTGTCGCTCTCTCTTACTGTTTTCTCCATTATATCCACGC